ATTACTTACAAAGTTCTACAATAAATGTTAATTTGATGGATTCCATTGACATTTAAAATATTGTAGAATGGCATCTGTTTAGCTACCAAATTCTTATATTATGCATTATATTGAATATATGTTATATTCAATAATGGTAGATTAACTTAAAGTTTTCTTTCTGTGGTAGAAGGATGGACATTTATGCAGACCAAGCTACAGAATCTTTTATGAGCACCTTTTATTTTTAGTTTGGAATTTTTTATTCTCCTCATTTCTCATTTTATCTACCCATTATATGCTATCATAAAAAAAGTTACCTACTAAATATAGAAAATTAGAGAAAGCAAAGCATATAATTCAGCACAAGTACTAATTTAAAATCACGTCTTAGCCACATTGACTTCCACCAGTTTTTGTCTGAAAAAAGGTCCTTGACTATTATTATGAACTTTAGAAATTTAGAAATAAGCATACAAATGTGTATATACACACAAACATTTTTATTATTGCATATAACATTTAAATTCCCAGTTTGATCTATTTGCAAGTAAACTAGTTTTAGGATTATTTATAATCATTTGTATGATTTCATTTGAATCCATTTCAAATTGATTATAAGGTGTTTATATTACTAATCCTTTAATTTGATTATCAGGGTAATGCTATAGTGTCTGTGAGTTTGAAAAGACTATCCCAAGGCACTACTTAAATAATGATACCTTAGACATCCCCTGAACATGTAAGGGAGGAAAAATCTCTATCCTCTTAAATTCAGTGTCTGGGCCTACAAATTAAACTTAACAAAAGAGACATTAACAGAAAAGATTTATTTCATATGTACTTTGGTGAGGAGGGGCTCAAAGCAGGTAAATGAAAACCCCAAGAGGCAGTTACACCCAGGGGCTTATACGCCATTTTAACAAGGAATATTCAAGTGTGCAAAAGAGACAAAACAGGAGTCTGGGCTTCCGAGAGAAGTGGTAAGTTGTGGGAAGGTGATTAGGAACGGTACAGTAAGGGCTACTTAGTAAGGGTTAATTATGCAGATTCAAGTCATCTTGGGTGATCATTGTTGTCTCTGAAGTTAGGTTCTTTTGCTCCTGTTTTGGGAGAAGGGGATGCCTTTACAAAGGGAAGTTAAATCTACGCCCTAGTTTTAGACAGAAATGGGGAGGGCAGATGTCTCTTCTTTGCTTTCCTAATTGCCTTCAGCTCAAAATAATCCTTATGCTAAAGTGGCATGATCTGATCCCCTTCACTACCTAAGTAAGAGAAAAAAAGAATTAGTTTGTGTTTAAGTTTTGACAGTTCCATTATAAAAATGCAGAGAAGATGTAAATTGGTGTGTGAATATTGTTTTGAACTTACTGTTTCTTCTATCAGTACTGTGTTAATCAACAGTGCTTACCTAATTTCTTTTAATTCAAGACCTTTGGGTAAGGAAAATACAGCAATATAAGACCAAAATTAATTGTCTTATGAAGATGGTTGCTTAGGCAATCAGTGGAAGCATATTGTAGGCCAATGCAGGACTATCAAATAAGTAATCATTATTTGTCTTGGGTTGTAACCCTGTTACTGAACCAAACTTGCCTCTATACTTGCAACATAGTTAAGTCAATTTACTGACACTGGATTTGGTGAAGGAAAGTACACCACCTATTGCCCAGCTAAGCAGAGAGTGGGCAGTTCCTGATGAAAAGAACCAAACTCTTCAATGGCTTATGGAAGGTTTTTTTAAGGCAACATTGGGCTGAGGGCTGCAGGGGAAATGACTTTGTTCTCACTGGTTGATGGTGAGGTCATGGGGTGGTGTTTAAGAATCCTAATCATTAACTCTCTGGTTCCAGCCAGTCTAGAATCTACATGTTTGTGGTCAGCACAGAGTCACCGTCCTCTGCCTGATACGGGTCTCAGTTCCTGCAGAGTAACTCAAACATACATGTCAGATGGTTGTGTGTCTCCCTTGAGGGGGATCTTGGGTGCGTTTATTGCTGAGCTGTTGTTTCTTGACTGCTTTTCTTTTGTTTCTACTACTTGAGACACTGCTTGATTCTTCCCTAAGTAGTAACTGCTTGAGTTTCCTCTTTGGAACTCAGGAAAGGGCTCAGAGACGCAAACTTTTTTTACATACAAGAAATAGGGGACAAGGAGAGGCTGTTGTACCTGGGAGGGCCCTGCAGAAAATATGGCAAGTTTGCTGAAAACAGAGTCCTGCTCCGTTTCAGTGCCACTGACCGCCACACCACTTGGGGCCAGCAGTTCTCGGTCTTCACCGCTACTTGTGCTTGTCCCAGATTTTCATTAATGATAGAGTGTATTCAAGACCTTTCCTCTGTTTTTACCTCAGTCACATATGCCTGACAAGGTAATTTATCTTTAGCCACCTACAGAGATATCACAATTTGAGGGAAAGGCCATGATCTCCTCGAAATCTTGGGGGACCATTCTAATGTGTCTGAGACTCCACTGTTAGTTTATACAAAAGTTATTCTTGATTTCTGTTTTTTTATGGTGATATTCTCTGTTAAAAGATGATTTTACAGGCAGTCCTAAAGTCCCATTTTGCCTTTTCCCAAGGTCTTCTCAGTTTAATTATCTCTCAGCTTCCTCGAGGTATCATTTGGTGTATATTTTTCCAGATCTCTCTCCATGCTGTAGATATATATTATTTCATGCACAAGTGATTTTCCTAAATGGTATTATACTGTGTTACTCTTGGAGCTTATGTTTGTATTCAGTAGTTTGTCTTGGTGACCTCTTCGAGTTAGTTCCTTTAGAGCTACATTATTCCTTCAAACCATGCATATCATTTATACTGTAAAGCAGTTTAGTTATTCCTCTGTTGGTGTATATTTATTTCTGTTTTAAAAATGACTGTGCACAGTGCTTCAGTGAGCATTCTTATACATATCCTCATGTATACATGTGCAAGTGTTCCTATACAGTCAGTACCAGGGGTTTATACATTTTTAGTTTGAATAAACACTGCACAGTTGTTCTGGATAACATTTCATCATACAGTACTGTAGAACCTTAAATTAGTTATTTAAGACCTAAAGATTAAAATTTTCTCTGAAAAGCAAAGGTTTGCTTTTAAACAAAAATAGTTTTGTGGCCCTGCTCTTCCTCTGTAGCCGTGGGGACCAGCTGGCATATTTTTAGCACACTGAGTTTTATGAGCAGAGAAGTTATGCAACAGGACCAAATCAGGTGGAATTTACTTTTGAGAATATAAATGACTTGACTACAACTTCAACAGACAACAGAAGATTCCTAAAGGGTGAAGTGTTATATAAATACAATTTTCAGCAAAAGGTAACATCGTGTCTCTCCTACAGAAATGAAGATGAACATGTGTTTAAAATGTATTTTCTCATATGAAGAAACCAGGCAAATGTTAATAATCAGTCCAAAGGAAAAGTCAAAATAGCATATATTTATCGAGATTCAGGGAATGTTGAGATGAATTGCACTTAAAGACAAAGCCTGTTTTTCCCCTGAGACGGGCTAAGGAAGAAGTCAGTTAAACCACTGCCACACAGGAAACGTGTTTGTGTGTGTGTATCAGTTACCTACATTTTAGAGAATTCGAAAATAGCTCAAAGACAGTGATCTGGGCTAGATAAGCCAGCAGCATATGCTATAATCTTACATTTCATTGAGCTGCAAAATTTATTTCTCAAATATGAATAAATATCTCAAGCTTGCTGAAAGCAGTACCAGACCTTGATGATTACCTTTAGGTAATCCACACTTGGTGGTCAGGCTGAGTGTGGAGGTGAAGGGAAATACTCACTGAAAGGACAGACTGAGATGCTTTGGGAAACTGCCGTATTTAACTAATTTAGATGAGTCAGTGTCAAATAGACAAAGGGTTTGGGCCCTTCTTGCTATTACAGAGTAAGAATCCCAGTTTCACCTTGGGTTCTACCAAGTAACCTTGAACAAGTTCTCTAACCATGCTGATTCTCAGGTTTCTTCGGCAGTGTAATGAGAATGATAATACTATCTTATGAGGATGAAGTAGAATAATTCATCTCATTGTGAGCATTAAATGATTCAGAATGTAATTATAACACCTAGCATGAACTCAGTGAATGTAGTCCATGGTGTCTGCAATGGACTACTACACTAAGCTACCCCCTTATTCCATTTCTGTCAAGACCCAGTTTAAATGTCATCTCAGAGAAATCTTTCCTGATCGCCCAACCTAAATACCTCATTAGTCCTCCCTTTTCTGTTACTCATTCTTTTCATTATAGCACTTATTACTGCTTCCTATTTTCTTGTTCATTTTGTTTCTTCAAACCTCCTTATTGTGTGTCTCTCATCATCAGAATGTAAATCTCAAGAGTAACAACTGGTTTTGTCATATGACAATTATGATGATTCCTACCACTTATTTGCCATTAAATAAAGGTGTCTTGAGTGAACAGGTCTAATATTCTAAGTCTGCCCCAGGAAAATTCCTTAGAATCTATTCTATTGGATCTTTCTTTAGGTACAGTGAGCGCACAGACCAGGAAAAGCTCTTGGAGAGGTAGACTGTGGTAAAGGAAGGTCTGAATGGGCAAATGAAGGGGCAAGATGATATGGAGATGGTAACAGAATGGGCAATATGGCGGAATAGGAAGGGAGCGGATGGGAGAGAAAGCCAGTCTGTTCTGACACAACCATGGCACTAAGGTTTTGGATGTTTTATTTTACTTTTTGAATAAAGTGATGTAAATTTTTTTTTTCGGATTAATACAATCCTAGAAATGAAAGATAATTTAGTCTGACTCTTTTTACAAGCACAGTGTTTTATAGATAAGAAAAAGGTCTGGGAGATGAAGTGAGCGGTCCAAATGAAATAGTCAGTCTGCTGATAGAATTGGAACTCCAAGCTCTGATTTTTCTAATCTTATTCTAATTCTTTCTCTTAATATATGCTTTAGTTTGTCATATGTTCAAAATGTTGAGTTGTATTCTGAACATTTCCATTTCATAAATATCCTTCTTTTCTTTCCCAATAGGTAGAAAATAGACCAAAGTATTACGGAAGAGAGTAAGTATGGATTATCAGAAAACATTTTATAGGTTGGAATATGTAAGAGAAACAGGTAAATGGATGCTTTTAGTAAAAAATAAAAGCAGGAGGAGAGACGTGTTCAAGTTTGATTGAGTTAAATTATTTTTCTGACTATAAATGGAATTATAGTTGGTGAAAATATAGAACATAAAGACAAGTATTGCAAAAAATAACTTGGGAAAAATGTGCACACAATGCTAACATAAAGATGCAAGCCATGCTAAGTAAATAAATAATACTAGATGTATATGAGGGAATGTATATATTTGTATGTATGTATATATTAAACATATAGATACATATACCCACATATATGTAGTAGGTTATGGGTGGTTTATTCTACATTTATACTTTTATTTTCCAATTTTCTATAAGTCAGTTTCTACCTAGAAATAATTAATGTTAAAAAGTTGAAGTATTATCTTCTGAAGATCTATTTTCTTAACGGTTTTTCCAAATTGAGTTGTTATACATATAATTTTTGTAGCCTGATTTAATATTAATAATGAGCATTTTTCTATTTTATGAAAAATGTAATGATTTTTAAAGTCCTTGATTCTTCTAATTATTAAAAAAAAAAAAGAAATATAGCCCTTTGGGGAAGAGAACAAAAATCACCTACAATCCTATCATTCTCCAAATTCATTTATCTTTCAGATAAACAATAATGTCTAAAACAAGTGTTTTTATCTAAAGCTCTGTTTACATTTTCAGGACTCTTGTAAGTAAAACCTAGGCACTTATGAGTTGCGGGGAGCCAGTGGTGTTCTTTATGGTTATACTATGGTTTAGTCATTTTTCTGCTTTTGGCTTGTAGGCTGAATTAAACTGTAGTATTAAAGATAATACCATAAGAAATATCTTAGTGCATAAAGGTTTTACTGGGATGGAAATTTTGGGTCAACTGCTATGAATAGTTTTAAGAGTCTTTAAATACCATCAAGTTTTGTCCCAAAATCAGTTTCCTTGAATAAGATTTCCTTTTAAATTAATTGAGTTTTTAAAAGCAAGGATATATTAAATTTTCTCAATTAATTGGTGTCATGCAAACTTAAAATATCAATCTGATAATCTAATATTTGTGTTATTACCAGGGATAGGCTACCATCTTCTTGTTCCAACAGAATCAGAGTGGATCTGGTTTTGAACAATTGAGGAAATTTATAGAGTTAAAAAATTCCAAGAGCCATCATTAAACATTATTATTCTAACTGTCATGTTGTCTAAAACATGTTGTTCTAATTGAGCATAGCTAGCATGAGCTACTTTAAGACTTAAATTGAGAAAGACCAAATCTTCCCCATGAGAAAAGTTCCTAAAGGTTGCCACTTGAACTCTCATAAAGTTCTTAAATTATTATTGTGCCATTTCAGGGCCTTTTCAATGTATCATTCCAAATTCAAGGGACTGTTGGGGTTTTTTGTACCTTTAAAAGCTACAGTCTCACTTGAGCATTTGCTCAGTTTGGTTTTCTTTGAGTTAATAAAAGGGCATAGTATATGTGTAGGTTCTTTGTAAATTGTGCATCACCATACAAATACAAGGTGGTTTTATATTTTTAGTATTAATGATTAGTTACTATTGATGTTTTTAAATTTTCCAGTGTTTTATGTCAGAATGTTATAGGTGAACCTGCAATGTTTTGTATAAGGAATGTGTTATTTATATTTATTCTTACTCCTTTTTTCTCTGTTAATCAAAAATAGTGTTTTAGCAGAGAGTGAAAGCAAGTGTTACATTTGTTGGCTCTTGGCTTGAGTATGCACTGATGCAGATTATGCACATTATTGGGCAATCATGCCAATTAAGGGCAACCCAGGGTCCTGGAGAATTGCCAACCATAGACTCTGAGCCAAAATTTTGAAGCAGTGCCACTGGTGTGAAGAAAGGAAGTGGGACACGTTTCTGTGTATTTTTTTAGCGTGTCCATATGGCCAGGCAGCTACATAAGAAGGGAATTGTCCTCTTGAGTGAGGCAGTTGATCTTCGCAGAGATGGAAGTGAATTTTGACTCCGTGATTCTTAAATGGATTGGAGAGCTACTTCGGTGCTGTTCTTGTCGCTGCAGAGAAGCAAGCCCAGGGCCAGGCCCTGGGAAACACAAGCACAGTTAAACCCAACTGCTCCCCTTCAATTATATGGCAGTACTTTGTCTAGAAAACTACAGGAGAAGGTGGGAGGTTTTGTTTTATCAAAAAAGGTGGAAAGCTTGCAGTTTCTGAATTGACTTTGTTTCTTAGGTTTCACGGCATGATCTCCCGAGAAGCTGCAGACCAGCTCTTGAGTGTAGCCGAGGGGAGCTACCTCATTCGGGAGAGCCAGCGTCAGCCAGGAACCTACACTTTGGCTCTAAGGTTGGTCGTGGACCTGTAATTATAACTGTGCCTCGTTCAAAACCCTCTTAATAGAGGGCTTTAAATTTTGAAAGCATCCAGCATGTAATTGAATTGGTTCTTGTTTTCTTGGGACCTAATTACCATTTTAATAGCTTTGAGACTCTTAAAAATTCCTCATGAATGGTAGCACTCAGTAATTAAGAACTTTTAAGGCATTTTTATTGTAGCTGCTTTCTTATATTTCATCTTACCCGTTTCCTCCCATCTGTCCTGCTGTGTCAGCGCCCATCTATTTCTTGAATAAGGAAAGGAACTAAAGAGAAAAGATCTTTGTAACTTCTAAAATTAAAGCCAATGTCATTTCTCTTAAATTGGCTTTTGGTTCAGGCAGCTTTCCTTGGGAACGCCTGGCTCTTTCCTATCTATTGAACTTTGCCTGGCATTTTGACTGTTCTTAGCTTACAGCACAGTGGCCAGAAACAAATATATCCATTAACCCTGCAGTAATAACAGAATAATAATACAATAGCATGCTTATCTGTTGGGCCTACCTCCTGCTAGGCCTCTAACCTCATTTAATCTTCGTAACAGATCTAGGATGTGTGTCCAATTATTGTCTCCACTTTATAAATAAGGAGACACAGGACCTAGAGGTTGAGGAGCTTGGCCAGGGTCATACATTTAAAAATTCATGTAGCTGGGATTTGAACCTAGACAGTTGGGTTTCAGAGTCTATGCTCTGAATCACTCCACATTGTTGCCTCTCCAGAGGCTTAGAATAATTATCAATTGTCTTTGTTCACTCCTTCATTTGTTCATGTGTGCAGTCACTTATATGTTGTTTGGAAAAGTTTAAAAGTAGAAACTTCATTTAAGAAAGAAGTCAAAGAAATAGCATTTCTTTTGGTAACCACAGAGAGACAATAGAAAGATGATAATCTAGCTTAGGACTCTAGTATGTTTAACTCCTTCTCCAGTCACTTATGCTTGGTAAGTGAGCAGGGACTGCTCTTACTACCACCCACCAGATTTATTGTTAATCTTTCTGGCAAAAGATGATATAATTCATTATTTCTTCATGGTGAATTTGGAATCAATGGCATACTTGGAGAACAGAGCTTGTTAATAGGAATTCATGGAAATTTACTCTTTATGGAAAATTATAAAATGTAAATCCCTCTTCAACTATTAATTATATATTTTCCAGGTTTAAGTTATGACATATAGGGGAGAAACATCTGGGCTGGGAATCCAAATACCTATTCCCGTTGTCACTAAATAAACTAAAAGATTGATTTGGGCAAATCACTATATTCTTGAAGCCATCTTCTTCATCTTTCTACTCTTACCATTTTATAATTCTAGGATTCTGTGACATCACATATCCAAATAGTCATCTGAGTGCCTGGGGCAGATAAGTCTTTAACTACAGGCTTATGGGCCAAACAAAGGAAGAAGGAGGTGGGGTGAGAGGAAAGAAAGAAATCTGTATACTCTTCCTTTTCCATTTGTTGCCATCTCCCCACCTTGTTCTGAGATCCAGTAGCAAGTTTGAAAGCTAGAATTGGAACTCAAGTTTTGCCACACTGCAATGTTCAGATACTTTCCATTATACCACATTGCCTCTCATAATGTGGTTATAATGCTGATTTTACTGAATGACTCCATCATATGCCCTGGGGTGAAGAATTCAATTTAGAGACAAATAGCACCCCAGCCTTCCCAGCTCTTCCTCATTCCTGCACTCTCACCCTCACTACTACTACTCGTGGCTTTATTTTATATCACTCACTGTCCACTCTGGCCCGGAAATCCTAGAATTGGATTGAGGAATAGATCATCATGAGTTTGATGTATAGGCCTTGGGTGACATGCAGCTTTCCTTTTGTTATGGAACAATCATCATAAAGTTTTTACATGGCAAAGAGATAGTAAAAGGGGTTGTAGTGGAGGTGGGGAATTTGTAAATATGCTTTGTGAGCAATTTAAATGCTAAAATATGATTCTCTTAGTTTTGAACTAGATGTATGGCAGGGAAGTGTTAAACAGAATGTGAAATAGTTGTATTATCTATTAATCTTATCTGATACTCCCCATTTCAACTAATGAGTCTCCCAACTAACATCAGTTTGTTTTAATAGAATGTGTGCCCACTGAAGTAGGGGGGCAGTTTGAATTTATAGCCATCAGTGTTCATTATGTTGTTGTCGTTGTTCATCATGTATTTTCTGTATTAAACAGGCCCTAAAATTAGGAATAAGTTGTTGAACTCAAGTTGTTCCATAGGCACCTCAACCTCAGTATGTCCAAAACCAAGCTCATCAGTTTTCCTGCCAAATACGCGTGTATTCCCTTTAATAGCTGGTGACGCTGTTATTTAGCCATTTCATAAGACCAAAAGCAAAACACCATTTTCTTTTCTCTTAGTTCTGTTTTAAGATGTTTGTCAGCTTGGCCTTACTCATTTAGAGGCTTCCATCTTACACTATTATCAAATACTGTATCCCATGTCAAATGTATATGTTTTTGCTCTTGTTTGTGTTTTGAAATATATATTGCTTTTGGAATTAACTTTAGTTTTGTAGTTTTCCTTTTATGTTTTGGTATCATATCTTTTTTTTTTTAATATATTTTATACCTTTTCATAGACTCCGGAAAGCCTAAAATACTTGTACCTGTATTATCTAATGATTAAAAGAACTTTTTCTTCATCTTGCTCATCTCACACAGCCATACCCAGAAATCATTTATTTCTTAAGTATTTCTCACATTTCCCCCTCCCTTTCAATCAAGCCAACTTCTGGGTTAGTTCAATGAGAAATTTCTCTATATCCAGCCTTATTCTTTTTAATGAGTGATCAGTTGTAAAATCTGATGCAGTGATCAGCGAAGTTGTAATGTTGAATGGGACACAAGGTTTCAAAGGCCACACCTCCCTCTATCATTGGCATCTTCCCCATACCTGGGAAAGCCTAACCTTTACTCATGATCTTTGTGTACAGTGTAAGTTATTAGTTTAGGAAGTATGTGTTGTATGTGTGCTGTTATAGTATCAACTTATTGCAGTCAGGAAAGAAATTCTCATTGCATGACATGAAAGGTGGTCTGTGGTTGACATCTCACTTTCTTCATTGTCTTCTCCTACACTCCTGTTTCAGCCTGAATTTCTAGCCAGACCTTGTCCTGCTTTTCTGCCTTTGCTGTTGTGGACCACTTGGTTTAGGAAAAATGATTGTTGCTCAGTCAGAGTCTTTGTATCCAATGAAGCATTGGACATACATCCACATGGTTGGAGACTGCAGCTGAAGATAAGATGCTCTTTATACCCTGTAAAAAAAAGATAAGATGTTCTCCCAGGTACTAGATTATACCTCATGAAACATGATGTGATTCCTGTCACTTTGGAATTTTTTGTGTTGACTTTGACAGCATTTGTATTAGTTAGTTATAGTTTAATGAGCTATCATGGTATATATCAGCTGCAAGTAACCTAAAATAATTTAAGAAGTTTTGTTGAAGACATTTTTCTTTATATGATTTTCATAGTTTTAGAATGACTTCTTAAAAAAAATTTTATGTCATTCTATAACTTTTCTTACTAGAAGGAAAACTTGTTGAGTTCAGTATTGTGGTATATATGGAATAGCAAGTGAAAAAGATAGGACTGTCCTTGCTTTGTATTATCCTTTTTATTAGATGTTAAATATATACAAAAGAACACTTGTAAGAAATATAAAATTATTAAATGTCATGTTACTATAACTTTAGAGCTCTTCATCATAAACTATTTTCTGACTTTTCTAAGTTTCTTTTCCCCCTCTGGACTTCTAATTTCCTGACTTCCATCTCTCTGAACTTCAGTTTGGACATTTTCTGTTGACCTGTCTTCCAGTCCACTGGACCTTTATTCTACTTTCTTCTACTCTTTTTGGTCAGCTGTAAATCCACTCATTGAGTTCCTGTTTTGATGTACTGTTTTACTTAGTTCCAGAATTTTCATTTGCTTTTTATTTTTTTTTAAGATTTTAATCCTCTGATGAAATCTTTTTCTTCTTTTTTCCATCTTTTCCTATATATTCTTGAACCGTAACCTATCAAAACAGTTGTTCTCTATAAGTAACTGTTAAAATTACATAAGCACTACCATGAATTCTTGGAAATGTGAAATAAGAAAGTAAAAAGACTAGTGGAGAGCTAGTGTAAATGATCATGTGAAATGGCCTTTTAAATATTTGGTATCTATTTTCTCATTCCCACCACTGTTCCTAATAAGAATCTGGTTCTTACCAGATAAAAGTCTGGTTTTCTTTTCCTGTTTTAAAAGAAGGAAGAAGGTTGAAATGGATACCAGTTACACAGTGTAGCATAGTGGTGGTGGTTTAGTCGCTAAGTCGTGTCCAACTCTTGTGACCCCACAGACTGTAGCCCACCAGGCTCCTCCGTCCATGGGATTCTCCAGGCAAGAACACTGGAGTGGGTTGCCGTGTCCTTCTTCAGGGTGTAGCATAGTAGGTATTCATTACACTCATTTCCTTATTAGATAGTGAGGATCAGTCCATGATACAATCCTTCAAATATTTTAGTCCTGACCAACTTCTTATTAAAGTAGTATATTCCGTTTTAGCTTTGGTAAATAGTAAGAAAAACTAGTATGAGTTCCACAGAAAGTTTAGGCAAGGCGAGGCACCAAAGTTATGTAAATTCTATTTTGATAAAGTTCTTTTGATGTAATATTTTCAACTTGATTTAAAGTATTTTCCAAACTGACTTTAAAATAATTTATATTTTAAAGATTATATTAAAAACCTGCATCATCAAAAATAGCAGCACATCATCTCAAAGTATTTTATAACTATGAAAATAGCAATTTTTTTCACAGAGTAGAAACCATAGCAAAATGAAGTAATGTTATAAAGATTCTTCTGTGCTGATTGCAAACATCAGTAAGAAATAACATTACATATGATTTAGGATCTTTTATTGAGTTTTTGAATTCTACCAGATATTACCCAAATGGG